TCGCTGGTGCGGCCGAAGCTGCTGAAGCACGCGTGGCGGCTGTTTGCGCCGTGGCGCCGCGCGAGCTCGCACGTGCTCGGCCTGCGCGACCCGCAGGGCGGCCAGCAGTGTCGTGGCGCGAACGGCGCCTCTTCACAGCCGGAGGTGTGAGCAGGCTTGCACATCCGTGGGACGGACAAAGTGGTGCACAAGAAGGTGCCCCCCGAGGCGTACTTCCCCTTTGCAGACGCTTGGGTGGAGGCGCACCCCGGCGGGCTCCTCTTCGTCGCGACGGACGAGGCGGCACACACGCACACAGTACACACACACACACACACACACATGCACAGCACACAACACACGCACACACGCACACACACACACTCACACACATGCACACACACACACGCACACACACACACACACACGCACGCACACACACACACACACACACACACACACGCGCACACACACATCACACACACACACACACACACACACACACACACACACACACACACACACACACACACACACACACACACACACACACACACGCACACACACACACACACGCACACACACACACACACACGCACACACACACACACACACGCACGCACACACACACACACACACACACGCACACACACACACACACACACACACACACACACACACACACACACACGCACACACACACACACACACACACACACACACACACACACGCACGCACACACACACACACACACACACACGCTCACACACACACCGCTCACCCACGCGCACCGGGCCTTGCACTTTTCAATGCCGCAGGGCTCCTGTCGTCTAGACGTGGAGACGCGAGGGCTCGCCTTTCCCTTGCCCCGCCACCTCGTGTGTGTGGAGAAGTTTACCTTACCTTACCTTTCCTTACCTTAGGCGGCCGACTCGGAGATGTCGCACAAGGAGGCGTTCAAGCAGGCCGCGCGCAACTGGGGCACCGCCGACGCCAACCCGCGAAAGCGCGGCATTGTCGACACGGCGTGGCGCGTGCCTACGCCCGCGGAGGGAGGCGGTGGCGAGGTTGGCGGTGGAGAGGGAGGCGGCGGCGGGCCGGTGGCGGGTGGAGTGGGCGGCGCGGGTGGAGGCAAGGGCGGTGGCGGGGAGGGTGGCGGCGGGGAGGGTGGTGGTGGCGGAGGAGGTGGTGGCGAGGGCGGGACGGGCTGGCGGGGCGGCGAGCCGGCGGCGGAGGAGGACGAGGGGGAGGAGGAGGAGGACGAGGAGGCCGGCTCCAGCGCCGAGGCCGCCTCTCCTTGCGCCCGCGACACACGCCCGCTGCTGCTCGCGTAGGAGATGGGACCGATCCTCGAGGCCACCTCGCCCATCCGCGTGTCGAGGCCGGGCTGCTCGGCGGCGGCGGGCAGCGCGGCGGCGGCGGCTGACCTTGAGGAGGTGGCGCCGCCGCCGCCGGACGGCGAGGAGGGCGAGGCGAGGGCGAGACAGCGGCCAACCTCCTCCTCCAGCTCCCGCCTCTGACGCCCTCCCGCGTGTCTGTGCGTGCACAGGCTTGGCGCATGGTCGCCAGCACCGCCGCCGCAGGGCACCGCCCCGAGGCGCGAGATATGGGGAGATATGGCGAGATGTGGCGAGATATTATGGCGAGACATAGGGCACCGCCCCGAGGCGCGAGATATGGGGAGATATGGCGAGATATGGCGAGATATAGGGCACCGCCCCGAGGCGTGAGATATGGGGAGATACGGCGAGATATGGGGAGATATATATTAGGGCACCGGAGGCGAGCTTGCGGTAGAGGGGCCACCCGACGACTGTGCGTGTGAACAGCGTCTCCTCACACGTCTGGCTGTGAACAGGCGAGCTCGCGCAGCCAGCCAATCATCGATGGCAGCGGAAGCGGCGGCAGTTGCGGCGGCGGAGGCAGCTGCGGCGGCGGCGATGGCAGCAGCGGCGGCAGCAGCGGCGGAGGCGGCAGCAGCAGTAGCAGCAGTAGCGGCGGCAGCCAAATCGGTGGCGGCGGCGGCGGCGACGACGACGATAACTACGGCGGCGGCGGCGGCAGTCGTCGTTTGCCTCTCGACCTTCCCCCGGGGTGGCGGGTGGAGGAGAGGAGAGGTCTTCCCGGGAGGGCGTACAAGCGCTACTTCGGCCCTGCCGGCCGCACTGCCCGCTCTCTGCCTGACGTGTGGCGGCAGCAGTGCGCGCACGATGTACTACAGCTCGAGGACGGCTCGCGGGCCCGGCGCCGCTCAGGCAACTGCCTCGCATGCCGCGGCAAGCACCGCGCTCACACCTGCGGCAAGCGGCTGCGCCACAGCGGGCCGGCAAGCGGTAGCCGAGCAAGGCACAAGCGGCAGCGCCACAGCGGGCCGGAGGCGGGGGAGGGGGAGATGTCGACGGACGAGGAGGGGGAGGGGGAGGGGGAGGAGGACGAAGCGGCGCCGGCCGTCTTTGAGGAGGGCGAGCTCGGCTGCTTTTGCGACACCGACCGCCACTTGCCGACCAGCGACGTGCCGTTTGAGGTGATGGAGGCCACCTCGCCCATCCGCGCGTCGATCTTCAAGGACAGCACGACTGGGCCTCGCCCAGCCCCCACCGCCGCTGGCGCCGAGGCAGTCCGGCAGGCGGAGAGGGAGGGCCCGACTCTGGCCAGCAGCAACAACAACAACACCGGCTACAGGAGCGTTACTTACTACCCGAATCGGCAAGGCAGCAAGAAGTACATGCTGGAGGTGACGACGGTTGGAGGCAAGAGACGCTTCCTCGGCTGGTTCGCCACCGCCGAGGAGGCGGCGCTCTTCTACGCCCGCAGGGAGGCGGGCAGGGACACCAGCGATCTCACCGCGCCGCCGCCGCCGCCGCCCACCTCTGGCGCCGAGGCAGTCCGGCAGGCGGAGAGGGAGGGCCTCACCCTCACCGCCAGCAGCAGCAGCAACAGCGGCTACAGGGGCGTCTGCTACTGCCCGAAGCAGAACGGCAGCAAGAAGTACAAGCTATCGGTGAGGGTTGGCGGTAAGATGGCCTTCCTCGGCCTCTTCGCCACCGCCGAGGAGGCGGCGCTCGTCTACGCCCGCAGGGAGGCGGGCAGGGACACCAGCAGGCCAGCCGGCACTCGGACACTTGCAGGCTTGCACTCAATCTGCCAGATGTCCGAGGCGGCGGCGGGCAGCGCGGCGACCCCTGGTGATGGGGCAATATCGCTCGCACGAGCTGCCCCGCCACCTGCGTTTCCTCCTCTGCTGTCTCGTCCGCAGCCGATGCCGATGCTGCTGCAGCTCGAGCCTCGCGCGCTGCGGGAGGCGCCCACGCATGCGCCCATCGCGTCCTCCCGCGCCGCTCTCGCGGCCGTCTGCTCAAGCTCACCCCCCCCAACCCCCCCCATCCCCCACAACCCCCCCCCCCCCCTCCTTCTCCCTTCCCAGGCGCTGCTCGCGCTGCAGCTGACGCGCGAGTTGCTGCGCGGCCTCGCCGCGAACCCGTCGCTGATGCCGGGCGGCGTCGAGGACTTCTTCGTCCGGGTCAACATGGGCTCCAAGAAGTACATGTACGTCCCCGCGCAGGTCGTCGAGATGCAGTCGCCCGAGGGGGCGAGTGGAGAGCACCAGATGCAGGTGCGCGGCGCGGACCGCGACCGGCCCTCGTCTCTGACGCTCACGCAGCTCTGCTACGTCTCCAACAAGCCCTTTACGGAGGAGGCGAGATTACCCGAGATTACCCGAGATTACCCGAGATCCAACAAGCCCTTCACGGCGGAGGCGCGCTGCGGTGGCGGCAGTGGCGGCCCTGCGCCAGCCCTCTTGCCGCGTTGAGTCGACTCCACTGCCCGCCGCAGGAGCTCTCCGAGATCGCATCCAACCTCGCGAGCGGCGTGCTGCGCAACTTGCCGCAGGCTGTCGCGCGCAGCATGGGCGCGCGCCGCGCCGCCGGCATGACCAAGCTGGCCGCCGGCAGCCCCCGGGGCGCGGAGGCGGCGGAGGCGTCCACGAGGGCCTGCGAGTGGCGCTGCGAGCGTCGCGTGGACCCGACCTGCCCGCAGGGCGAGTCGTACACGCGCACCGAGTTCCTCGACTTTTACGGTTCCCTCGAGCAGTGGCGCGCCGCGGCTCCCCCGCCGGCGGCTAGCCACGCGGCGCTGGCGGAGGTGGCGGACGAGGCGGAGGGGGTGCGCCACCCCTTCGAGGCGCAGGACAGTGTGAACGGAAGGAACGTCTCCCTCGGCTCCATCGGCACGGCGGTGGAGGCGGCGGTGGCGCACGCGCGTGCGGTCGGCGAGTACCAGCCTCCTCCTCCTCCGACGGTGGCGGCAGAGGCGGAGGGGCTGCGGCTGCACCTCTCCAGCAGCAGCGCCACCGGCTACAAGGGCGTGCGCGAGCATGTCTCTTCTGGCCGCTTCGAGGTGCGGCACACGGCGAACGGGCGGCAGGTCACCCTCGGCTGCTTCGACACGGCGGTGGAGGCGGCGGTGGCGTACGCGCGGGCGGTCGGCGACACCGAGTACCAGCCTCCCCCTCCTCCTCTTCCGGCGGTGGCGACAGAGGCGGAGGGGCTGCGGCTGCACCTCTCGAGCACCAGCAGCACCGGCTACCTTGGCGTGTGCAGGAAGCTCGAGGCGGAGGCGGAGGAGGAGGAGGAGGAGGAGGAGGAGGAGGAGGAGGGGCTGGGCTGCTTTTGCGGCACGGACCTGCACCTCCCGAGCAACAGCTTGCCCTTCGAGGGCGTGTGGGTGTGCTGCGACGCGTGCGGCCGCTGGTGCCACGGCGAGTGCGCCGGGATGGACCTGCAGCAGGCCGAGGAGGCGGAGGGGTACATATGCCCGCTCTGCGAGGCTGGGGCCGGGCCCGCGGAGGCGGAGGGCTTGCGCTTGCACCTCTCCAGCAGCAACAGCACCGGCTACAAGAACGTGGGCGAGCACCCAGGCCGCTTCGAAGCGAAGCGCGTGGTGGACGGTAGGATGGTCTACATCGGCTCCTTCGACACAGCAGTGGAGGCGGCGGTGGCGTATGCGAGGACGGCCGGGCAGGCGGGGGGAGAGGCAGGGCCGTCGGCTCCAGCGGAGGGCGAGCCTCCGGCGGCCTACGAGCCTCCGACGCCGGCAGTGGGAGGCGGAGGCGGCAGCGGGAGGGGGTGAGGAGCCGGCCAAGCGCGCGCGCACGGCGGTGCATTAGATAGAATGCAGCTTGATGTGTAGTTGTGCCCTTCGTTGTGCGGCCCTTCGTTTTGTGCCCGCGTCGAGTGCCCGCGTCCATAGACCGACTCCGAGGCGCGAGCGGGGCGCGAGCGCGCGACCCGAGGTGCGAGAGGAGACACTGCACCATGCAGATTTATGGTACAACACAAGTACCAATTCCCATGCGCAAGCACTTCCCACAGACCGGACCCTATGCGTTCCTGTTCATGGTGCGCTCTGGTCCGCGGCCCGGATCCCTTCAGGCAAGAAGATCACGCAAACGCTGTCCGTGCCTCTGGACAGCTGCATCGCCCGGGTGCGCCTGCATAGCCCCTACCGCCGCCTCGGTCGCGCCCGCAGTCACAGCTCGCTGCCTCCGCGCCCGCGCTGCGGCGTCGCTGCCGTTGCACACGTTGAACAGCGCCCGGCAGCCAGACTGCTGCACGCCCGCATCCTGCGAGTGAGCCTGCAGCGACGCCACAACCACCTCGATGCCGCCCGCGTCTGCTGCGCGCTGGATGCGTGCGATTCCTGTGGCGTCGGTGCCGACGCACACGTTGCCCAGCGCGCAGCAGCCATTCCCCTGCACACCCGCCACCTGCGGGTGCGCCTGCAGCGCCGCCACGATCGCCTCGATGCCGCCCACGTCTGCTGCGCGCTTGCGTGCGATTCCGGCGGCGTCGGTGCCGGCGCATACGAAGGCCATCGCCCGGCAGCCATTCTGCTGCACGTCCGCCACCTGCGGGTGCGCCTGCAGCGCCGCTACGATCGCCTCGATGCCGCCCGCGTCCACCGCAGCTTGCCTGTTCTGCACCTCACCGCACAGATTAACCAACCGCTCGCAAGCCGCAAGCGCGACGCGACTGACCGACCCGTGTGCCCGCAGCGCCGCCGCCACCGCCGCCACGCCCATCGCCCGCACCTCCGCGTCGCTCGGTGGCGCAGCGGCGGGGACATGAGCAGCAGAGCCGCTGCCGCTGCCGCTGCCGCCGCTGCTGGAGCCGCCGCCGCCGCCGCCGCCGCTGCTCGGCGTAGCGTGGCGCTGCCGCTTGGGTGCCGGGCCGGCGCTCGCACTCCCCTCAGTCGAGTTCTTGCGCACGGCCGCCACCATCTCGGCCCCCATCTCCATCTCGACCTCGATCACGTACGCCGGGTACATCTGGCGCGACTCGTACACAACGTGTACGATGGAGGCGTTGCACCCGTTCTCGCCTCCGCCGGAGACGAAGGGGCGGTGCGGCCCGCCGCGCACGCTGTCGTAGAGGAGTCGGGGAGGGCCCTCAACGCGCACGTCCGGCATGCGCATCGCCTTCGTCTCCGCGCTGATGCGCTGCCCCATCTCCTGCTGTGAGCCGAGGGCAGCCTTCACGATGAGCAGCTGCACGCGGCTGCCGCCCGAGCCGGAGATGCGGTGCGCGTAGCGGCCGCCTTGCTGTCCCCCTCTCCTCACGTTGAAGGATAACCTACATAGCCGCTGCGCGGCTATCTCCGACGAGACAAGGTCATATCAACACGTTCATCTCTACGTCTTGGCCCATTGCGTCTCCAAGACACACACTGCCGTGTCTCAACACAAAATTTTCCTCCCCCAGACGAGCGCCGTAGGTGTATGAATCAGTGTATGCGAGTAATGGCACTAAGGCCACCCTTTGGCCTTTCTTGCCCAAAAGGGCTATTTAAGACTAGGGTGGTCCTTGGCCCGCGGACGTCTGACGGTTCGAACCGAACCCTTTATGACACGGATGGGAAAGGGGTTAAGGCGGGGTGGTGCAATGGTGGTGCTCCGCCCCCCAGCGCAGTCGCACCTTCGCGTCTGCCCAGGACGGGTGGTCCCCTCGCGACTGGGTGGAGTCGAGACCTCTCAGAGCCGCGCGAGGAACGGCCCAAACACAGCGAGAGCCCCCCGGGCCGCCCATTTGGGCAGCGCCTCCCACGTGAGCCACACCACTAAGTTCGCGGCACGGTTGCACACGGACGAGATGGTCATGTCCAGCATGACCGTGGCTATCTGGACGTTGTCGCTCGGCATGGGCGGCACGTCGCAATTCTTGGCCAGGCCTGCCCCGCACTCGTCCCACGCGTCGGCCACCACCTCCTTCCGGTGCTTCTCTGCCCACGCCCTCGGGGCCGCGTAGTGCTCGAACCACGGGTATTCGCTCTTTTGGCGCGCGAGCGCGTTCCAGCTCGCAATCGCGGCCGGGTCGTCGAGGATCGAGTGCACCAGGTGGCCGAGCATCCAGCCGCTCACCAGGTGCAAGTCCATCAGAGGAGTGAGCGCGTACACCGCGTGAGGCAGCAGGGTGGTCGACCCCTTGTAGCCCGTGCAGGTGATCACGCGGTCAAAAACGAGCCCAGGGAAGGCGGCGCACACGACCTTGCCGAAACCGTCGGGTGTCAGGCCGAGGCTCGCCACGTCCGCCTGCACGCCGTGTGCGCGCATCATCCAGTTCATCAAGAGGTACTCGGAGCGTCGCATGATGCCGCCGCGCGTCTGCTTCCACCAATCTGCGACCTTGCCGCGCCCCACCAGAAAGAACGTGAAGGACTTGACTGTAGGCTCCACGGTGTACTGTGCGAACGTCGGCTTCTCCGCGGACTGTGTGAAGAAGCCGGCGTCCAATCCGTACAACTCGCACGCCTTTGGCGTCAGCATTGGGAAGAAGTAAAAGTTTGGGTTGAGCCACTTGAGATACTTGGCGTACCACAATTGTCTTGATTTAAAGATGCCCTGCAGCCATATTCAAGATGCGTTGCGTTTTCCCTATTGAAAGTCGCGACAAATGTCCCTCGTCCAGCCTGCAGCATGGCGAGGCGCGAGAGCGCAACGCGGTCGCGGTGGCGCACCGAGAGGGGCCGCCTGGCCACCGCTGCCACGGCGCCGCACGTACTTCACCCACTTTCGCGACTGTGGCCATCCAACAGTCTGCCGGCGCGGCGGGCGCATTCGAATGCGCCGGCCGCGCCGGCAGACTGCCAGTGCTTGCTACCCCGGGCGCACGTCAGCCGCGAGGACAGCGCTGCATCGCCGCCACAGCAACGCCTCCCCCGCATGGCCGCCGCCAGCAATGCCGCCGCCAGCCGCCGCATCCAGCCGCCGCCGCCAGCTGCCGCCAGCACTGCAGTGACAGCTCTCTGCTGCCCAGGCGCCGCCGCGGCCACGAGTGTCACCGCCACGTCCCACGAGTGCCACCGCCGTCAGCGTCGCCATGGCCACTGCCGCCGCCAGGGGGGCGAGAGAGGGGCTCCATATGTGTGTATGAGGTGTGTGTCTGGAGGCTGTCGCTTCCGTTAGCGGAAACGCAGGTATTTCGAATATTGGTGCAACCAGCCTAGAGCGCGATCTTTCACACTGGTGAGCGCGCCGCGTATACACGGCCTGCGCGAGACCGCCGCGCGCCGCTCGCGGTGCCCACACCATCGGGACCGGTCCGGAGCACCCAGCGATTGGAGCCGAATCGCCAGACTCGACCGCGCTGGCCTCCTGGAGCAACGCGCTGTCGCTCGCAATGACGCAATACGCGCGCTTTTTTTGCTCCATTTCTGTCCAATCGCTCGCGCCCAGACCACTCCCATCCATCGAGGGCACATGAGTAGCCTACGATTGACCCATCTCGGGCCGTCTCTATGCACTCGCAGGTGCGTTTGGTCCTCCGCGTGCCCGCTCTCGCTGCCTCGAGCTGCAGAGATGCCGCAAAAGAAGAAGACCGCGCGCGGCGCGCACCTGGCCGCGCTGAACAAGCAGCACCCCAAGCGCGAGGAGAGCGCCGGCGACGCCAACGACCTCGAGTACGTCGACAAGCCGGACGACTCGTCGAGCTCGGGCGAGTCCGCCGGCGGCGACGCGCTGGTGCAGTCAACCCTCCCCTTCTCTGGTGCGAGCAGCGCACCAAAGAGGACGCAGAAGAAGCGGCCTCGGACGGCGGAGGGCCGAAGCCAGCTGACGCTCGCCGATTTCATCATGCCCCGGCTGGCTTCTCTCTCGGCCGGCGCCACCTCTCAGCCTCCCGCCGACGCTCCCGCCGACGCTCCCACCTCCTCTCCCGCCGCCCCGACGGAGGAGATGGCGCCAGCGCTGCCCGAGCCACCCCCTCCCGAGCCCGAGCAGCTGCCGCCGCCTGAGCTAGCCGCGGAGCCACCGGCCAAGCCAAAGCGCGGCCGCCCACCGGGCAGCAAAAGGCCGGCTTCTCTCGCACAGCAGCCGCCCTGCGGTGGTCAGAGGACTGGTACGTGGACTGAAGAGGCGGGAGACGCTTCTCTGAGCGAGGTTTGGTGCTCTCAGGAGCGCTATGCCAACGCGTGGTCGGCAGGGGCCGGCGGGGCAGGTCCGCGGCGAGCGCTTCGCCTGCGGCGCGCGTCTCTGGCCACCAGGGAGGGTCTGGAGGGCGATTTGGGGGTCGATTTTTGGGAAGTGATGCCAATCGAGAGATCTCGCCGAGCCCTTTTCGGTGGTGTGCTTGCGAGCTTTTTTTTCGCACGGGAAGCATTTTTCGTACTCGCAAACGTGAATTAGTCGACTAGGCTGGTTGCACCAATACCACAATTGTCTTGATTTAAAGATGCCCTGCAGCCATATTCAAGATGCGTTGCGTTTTCCCTATTGAAAGTCGCGACAAATGTCCCTCGTCCAGCCTGCAGCATGGCGAGGCGCGAGAGCGCAACGCGGTCGCGGTGGCGCACCGAGAGGGGCCGCCTGGCCACCGCTGCCACGGCGCCGCACGTACTTCACCCACTTTCGCGACTGTGGCCATCCAACAGTCTGCCGGCGCGGCGGGCGCATTCGAATGCGCCGGCCGCGCCGGCAGACTGCCAGTGCTTGCTACCCCGGGCGCACGTCAGCCGCGAGGACAGCGCTGCATCGCCGCCACAGCAACGCCTCCCCCGCATGGCCGCCGCCAGCAATGCCGCCGCCAGCCGCCGCATCCAGCCGCCGCCGCCAGCTGCCGCCAGCACTGCAGTGACAGCTCTCTGCTGCCCAGGCGCCGCCGCGGCCACGAGTGTCACCGCCACGTCCCACGAGTGCCACCGCCGTCAGCGTCGCCATGGCCACTGCCGCCGCCAGGGGGGCGAGAGAGGGGCTCCATATGTGTGTATGAGGTGTGTGTCTGGAGGCTGTCGCTTCCGTTAGCGGAAACGCAGGTATTTCGAATATTGCAATAGCAAACGCGCTTATAATCTGCAGGGCATCTTTAAGGCAAGGTACGCAGTCGGGTTGCGGTACACGCAACGCACGGTGTTGCCTTGCTTGACGAGGAGGCGCACCACGTCGATGGACGACTTGCCCGAGCCAACGACGAGGCAGCACTCGCCGCGGATGCCGTCCCCAGCACTCAGCAGCTCGCTCGAGTGTGTCTCGAGCGGCAGCCCCAGCACGCGAGGCTCGCCCGAGTAGAAATCGAATCCGGTCGCCTGTACGACATGACGGCACGTGAGACCCTGCGGGCAGGCATCCAGCTCGGCGCCCAGAGGCACGTAGATCACGCGCCGGGCGTTCCCAGGCAGCTCCTCCACGTCGCCCCAACCAGTCCTGCTAGACGTGCGTCACATCGCCGCTCCGGCCGGGAGGCCCCCGGCGCCCGGGTACGCGGGTTCCATTATACGAGCGCCTGCGATCGAAAAAATACATACTGATATCTGAGATGAGTCGGTGGCACAGTGGGACACACCGCTCTATGTGGAATGTGCATTTCGACATGCTGCAGAGACGTTTGGCACACTTCTGAGACACAACAGGAGATCGTGGCGCGCGGCGGCACACTGGCAAGGCCTGCCGCTGCCCGCAGCGCCGGCGCACCAGCCCGACGACCCCCGCACTGTTAAGTCCTCTCCAGCACGGCCGCGGCCTCACTCGAGAGCAGCTTGGCCCGCCGCTCGAAGCACTGGCGGCGCGGCACTCTCTCGCTCTCCGGGTGCAGGTAGAGCGTCTGGTAGTTGTTCTTCACGTCCACGCAGGAGCCGGCGAGGCTGGGGTGCGGGCAGACCTACTCACAGCGATTGGCTGTGAAGAGGAGCTGTTCGCGGGTGGACACGGTCTTTGGGGTGCAAAAGCACACCGACACCATCCGGTCGAACAGGTTGCAGAGGCCGCGGCGCTTGCACAGGCTCGCGAGCGGGCTGAGGGACGGCCGCGCGGGTCGTCAAATACCGAAGGGTGTGGTGATACGGAGGAGGAGATGTGAGGGTGATCGAGGAGATGTGAGGGCGAGGTGTGTGCTGAACCTGAAGGAGCCCCACAGGTCGTCGGACGGCGGCGCACGGCCCACCCAGTGCGACAGGGAGCTGCGGCTGCCTAAAGAGGAAACACGAGCGGTCGAGCTCGCCCCTCATAGACGGCCCAGCGCCGAGCATAGATCTGCCGAAGAGGGCGGCGTCTGCGGCGCCGAGCATCCAGATGTCGGCGGCGAGGTCGAGGCTGTCGTCGCGCCCAACCGCCGCCGCGAGGCCCTTGCTGTGCATGCCGGTGCGCGAGGAGCACGCGGTGGGCACGCAGCCAACGAAGTGGCCCTGCAGCGCGGGCAGCCGCTCCAGCAGCGCCTGTTCACAGCTGTGCGCTGTGAAGAGGCGCTCTTCACAGCAGCGCGGGCAGCCGCTCCATCAGCGCCCGCAGGCCGGGCGCGTCGCTGCTCACGTACACCCGCCAACCCACCGCACCCCCGCCCTCCCCCGCGCCGCTGCTTGCGCCTCGCCGCCGCCGCCGCTCGAGCGCGATGGAGTGCGCGCGGATCGCGGCGCACTGCACCACCGCGGCGAGCTTGGACGAGTTGCTGCCTGCGGTTCCAGCACACTCCATGCCTCCTTCATGACGGTGGGTTTGAGTCCCAGAACAGCGAGCTTGGGCGGGCAGCTGCCTGGCACCCGCAGCGGGCGAACCGCACTCTCCTGGAACGGCCGAGCCCGCCACCGCCGCTCCGCCCTGCCCGTGAAGACGCTGGCGTTCCGCCCTGCCCGCCTGGGCGCTGGGGCGCCGAGAAGCGCCTCTGACGGCTCGGCGCACCTGAAGCAGTCCACCCGCCGACCACTGGCTTTCGAATGGGTTGGAACGGGCCTGACGGCGCGGCGCACCGGTCGAGGTCGAGGCCGTGCCGTGCGGGTAGCTGCCCGCAGGGCGAGGAGGTGAGGGCGCTCCACATGGCGGCCGCAGGGGAGGCGGAGGCGGAGGACACGGGCGGCGACGCCACTCGCCCGCCCCCGCGCCCGCCCCCTGCCGACGCGAAGCGCCCGCCCCGGGCGCGAGCGCCTTCAGGGGGCGCCGCCACCTTTAGGGATGGGAGCCACCGCCCAGCGGCGCCGGCGAGCACCTCGGTGTCGTCGGCCCAGCCAGTGCGGAGCTGGAGCACCACCAGTGCGTCGGCGGCGGCAAGCTCCGCCAGCGCAGCCAGCCGCACGGCTAGCGGCGGTTGAGGCCGCAGCATCGCGTGAAGCACGCACCGCATCAGCTGGCCGAGAGGCAAGCTCTGGGTCCCGCTGTTCACGGGCGTCGACCAGAGCGCGTGCTTGCCCAGTGTCTGCACGAGCCCCGCCACGTCTTTGCGGTGCCTCGGCGGGACCTCCGGCCCCGCAGCGGCTCCCTCGGCACCGACCTCGAGACCTCGAGAGCGGCTCCACCGGAGGGCGAACGCGCGGACCAGACTCGCAGCGTCGCCCTCCGTCGGGTAGAGCTTCGTCGGGTTCGCGCGTTCCCCCCTTCGCAGCGTCGGGCCCTTCGCAGCGTCGCCCGTGCCGCCCTCGTTGTCAGCATGATATTTCGCGCGGCAAGATCGCCGCTGTGAGGGGGAAGAGAGTGCAACGCAGTCACCCGAGTTCGTCGGGTATAGCGACGCGCCAGAGCAGAAGGGCGTCATTGCGATCGAGTCGGCGCCGACGACCGCAATCAGCGTGAGCCACGGGGCGGGACCCGCGAGGAGGGACGTCACCTCCTCACAAGACCGACTCCGCGACACCTCCACGACAGTCTCCGACCCGGCGCCGCCGTGCCGCCTAGCGACCGCCGCGCGCGCTGCCGCTGTCCAGCGCCAGCTTCTGCCGGCCGAGGTCTGGTAGTGCTCGCCGAGGTCGAACCGCCGCCGCGCCCGCTTGCAGCCGCAACCGTGCGTCCGGTTTGGCCGGTCGGGACTGTCGAAGACCCAGTCGATGAAGATTGCGCGGTCGGAGAGTGCCGCCACCGTGAACCACATGCTGTAATCGCCAAAGAGGTTGCCGATCCCGTTGTCGCCGTTGCAGGCGCACGATGCGTCTATCACCAGCACTCGGTCGAGCGACGCACCCACAGCGTCGATCCGGTCGGTGGCAAACCTTGACGCGGAGCCGGGCTGCTGACAGCCATAGGAGAAGCGGGCGGAGTCGCGCTTGGCGAGGGCGGTGGCCGCGAAGGCAGCCATATATATGCGAACGGTGCACGCCCCTGGGGGGGGGCCCGTCACCCGTACAGTGGGTTGCGGGCATTAAGAAAACAGGATTTCGCGGCACGCCGCCGTTTCTAAGCCTTTCCACAGCCCTCATCCACCCCACGCCGTGGTTTCTTAGCTCCGGGCGGGGCACTCAATCAAGCCAGAGCGCCGGCCCGAAGGATTTTTAGGTAAGAAGAGTGTTAAAGCTCGGTCCGCGAGGGCGATGCCAAGAGTCTGCCGCCGAGTCGGCTCTCTGGATGAGGGGAAGACGCACACACGCCTCCATCCACTGACCACTCCACTCAGAACACCGCAGACTTGAAAAGTGACAAGTGCGCTGCCGCAGGCCCAGGCGAAGAGAAATTTTGAGCTGCAGCTGGGGCTCCGGACCCGTTCACACTCGTGTCTGGCCTTTTCTCGGGGCCGCGCCGGCGGCGCCCCGTGGTTTCTTAGATTTTTGCGGAAATCGCTTGGTAGGGTTTCTTAATGCGACGTTTTCTTAATGCCCGCAACCCACTGTAGCGACACTCACACACGGCAAACCCCGCAAAGTGACCCGTTTTTACCCACCCACGCCCGTGCGCGCGTATCTTAGCAGGGTACGCGGCCACACGCGCTGGCGCGCACGGCAACCGGGACTTACACGCGCGACACGAGGGACTGTGTATCCTCGCCTGCCTGCCTCGAATAGCCGCCCTCACCCGCTGGCGTTCATCGAGCTCGGCGGGGCCTGATACGTGTCATTCTGTGCCGGCGCGTATCTTAGCCAAGATACGCGGCCACACGTGCAGACGCGTATAGCGGTACTCGCGCCCACACGTGCAGCCGCCTATCTTGGCCAACATAGGCGGCTGCACTCGCAGCCGCGTACCGCGTGACATAGACGTGCCACGCATGGGGCGCGATGCCCCTAGAGAGGCGCCCACACGTGTAGCCGCGTATGTGAACATCCCTCTGTGCACGTGCCAGCGCGAGTCGCCTTCGCCGACGGGCCGTTTCACGCGCTCACGCCCGCCTATGTTGGCCAAGATAGGCGGCTGCACGTGTGGGCGCGAGTACCGCTATACGCGTCTGCACGTGTGGCCGCGCGGTATCTTGGCTAAGATACGCGCCGGCACAGAATGACACGTATCAGCCCCGCGCCGAGCTCGATGCGCGGCAGCGGGTGAGGGCGGCTATTCTCCCCCGAGGCAGGCGAGGACTCGAGGGCGAGGATACACAGTCCCTCGTGTCGCGCGTGTAAGTCCCGGTTGCCGTGCGCGCCAGCGCGTGTGGCCGCGTACCTTAGCTAAGATACGCGCGCACGGGCGTGGGTGGGTAAAACGGGTCACTTTGCGGGGTTTGCCGACATTCACAGCGACAGGCTGCCACCGTCACTCACAGCGTCGGGCGCAACCCAAGCCGCGTCGCAAGGCGGGGTGCTGCGTGCTGGACCCAAATCGCAAATGGGGTCCAAATGGGGGGTTGCGCGGCAGGTAGGTTTTGACCGCCCCAGAGGGCCCCGCAATGTGTGTGTGTGCACTCACCCCGCAATAGGTAGGTAGGTAGGTAGGTAGGTAGGTAGGTAGGTAGGAAGGTAGGAAGGTAGGTGGTGGTGGTGGTGGTGGTGTAAAAACACCGCATCGCGCGCGCAAGGCGAACGCAGCCCTGCCAGACGAGTAGGCGGTACAACAGAGGGTGAGACAGGCTTTGACAGTCGCCGGGTCTTGCGCACGCGTCAGCTAGTATTGCGTCATTGTCATAGGCTGGGCCCCGCGGCAACCACGTGAAGCTTGTGATGGTCATAGTTGGCGACAAGCAGCATTCTGTCACCGACAGAGCAAATGCCAAACAAGTCGACGTCCTCCCCAGGGACCTGGCATGTGTGGATGACTTCCAGCGCCGCAGACAACACCAGCAGTCGCCGGCCCCACACTGCCGGGTGATCATCCCGATCCTCGTCAACATCGCCGCCCTCGTCACCGGCGTACTCGGTCGCGTATAAGCGCCCGTGCGCGGACACCAACTCGTTCAGGTTGCCAACATCGTCGAGGTTTGCTGTTCGTCGCCACTCGCCCGCGAGAGAAAAGACGTGTATACAGGCGTGAGGCGTGTTGCCGCGGGTGCTGATGAAGAGCTCGTCGCCCAGCACAGCCATCGCGCTGAGAAAGGCCAGGTCGACGGCACCAGCTGCGATAAGTGTGCTGCGCTGCTCCAGGGTGGTGGGATCCAGCACCACAACCTTGCACTGATGTTCTGACTTGTGCTGGGCAGCCATCAAGAGACAGTCACCCGCAGCCACGAAAGATTCACTGTATATCCAGTCGCCAAGTGTCGTCGGCTCGCTCGCGCTGAGTCGAGTCAGGTCTGCCGCCGCGAAGCTGAACAGTTGTTTAAGCTGATTGTCGAACACATAGAGAATTTCACCAACGCAGGCCATGGTGGTGGGCTCTTGCAGGTCAACGTCGCCAGCCCCCTTCTCAACGAGCTCCAACACTTCGAACCCGGAAGGCTGCAAATCCGGAAAGCTGCGAATGTGCATGAGGCCGTTGCCCTCGCTGGTCAGCATGATATCTCCGCGTGGTAGCTCGCACGCAAAGCATGGCCGGCGCAGTGCCACCGTAAAACTGCGATTCGCAGGCGCTACTGGGAGCTCTGGCCCCACGGTGTACACATGACGCACCGGCAGCTTGCGCCTGCACGTCTCAGCACGCCACCCTGCAGCCCAGAGCTTGCATACCAGCGCCGCGTTGGAGCCATCGCAGATCGAAACGGACGTCAGCAAGCATGGCACCAAGTCGGTCGACAGTAGCACGCGTTCCACGCACCACATGGGCAAGCGCTTACCAAAGTGCCGAGAGGCGAGCCGGTATGTGGTCGCATCGGCACGGCAGCCACCGACCGCCAGGTCCAGGAGGGCATCATACGGTAGGCCGGAGAGCAAATTCGGAAGGCGGTCCATGCTCTGGGGGCCCGCAGGCTCGCCGACCCGGGGGGAGAGCGGCGCTGCCCCGGGGGGGGCACCCGCGCGGACAAGCGCGGACAAACTGGGGCGTGCTGCCGCCCTGGAGCCTTTCACAGCCTTGTTATTGATAAGAAAATACGTCACCTGGCGCTGTGTGGGTATTTCGCTCGAGATTTTCGCTTCGCATAGGTAGGTAGGTCCAAACTGGGTTCCGGCTCCTACCCAGATAGGGGGTCTGTGCCCCACGGTTAGACCCTATGCAATGGTAGGTAGGTCCGGTTTTGACCGCCCCAGAGGGCCCCGCACGAATAGGTAGGTAGGTGGTGGTGTGTGTGTGGAGGGGGGGGGGGGGGGGGAACGCTTCGCTCGCGCGGGAGACGGCGCGTTTAGCCGCGAACAGGGCCGTCCAACGCC